CTATCAGGGCGCAACTCCATTGTCTTAGACTGAAGGATGCCTACTACATCAGCAGTGGCACTGTGGGAGCCAGCAACACTGGAGCATGGGTCAGTAGTACGGTGTGACACTACCCACTGCTGCAGTCGGCCCACTGCTGCAGACGTAATCCAGGAATTTGTACCAAGTCACTAGCCTCTTCCTCAATGTGCTCTTCAGAGTGGATAATTATTGTAAATTCAGCTCAGTATTATGTGACACTAAGGGCAGAGAGGAGTAACTGATATACTGTACATTGCTTCAAATAATATACTTTAATAAAAATGTCACATGAAATATAACTAAAGCCTCGTAACACTAAAAATTTAAATGTTTAGTGCAAAGCAGTAATACTAGGCTAGCACTGAATTGCACTGAAACAGATTTAATGTTACTTTATTATCTGCTCCTAGAGCATAACAACACCAAGAAACTTTTTTACAATTAAACTAGTTACTGATGAGGCATGTAATTTCTCGATAAAATACTTGTTTAATAATAGCATAATAATCAATAACAATCCCTGAGCCTCCTAATCTCTCAAAATCTGGTTCCACTACATAAAATAAGTTGGTATAAATCATTTAGCACCACTGGTACTCTATTAAATCATCACAAAAATGCATGAATAGTCACTAGTCGGTAATCATAATAAATATAATGCACACAAGTCCTCACCTTGTTTTGTAGAACTTCTCTAACTAAATGGGGAACGGGGGTCTGTGTTGTCTAACTACCATTTACATGGACGGCTTCCTAGCCACTGTTCTGCGTGCCCATGTTATTTTGGTGTGACGCTTCCACTTGGCGCTGAGAATTCCAGACATCATGTTGCCTCCTGCAACTTCCACCGGCACTCACTGGCACTACCATGCTATTACAACTGTCCTCTTCTCTCTCTCTCTCTACATCCCTATCACACTCCATAAGGCAACCAGGTATAAGGGCAATTGTCGTTATTAATGGTCCTCCTGGACACTGAGGCTGCTACACGAATTATACTCCTACTGCAGTATGCATTCCACTGTCAAAATCTGTATGTAATTGTGACACCATGTAACTCTTAAGCTGTCACTAAAAATTCTCTTAACACTAAAGAATTTAGTGACCCTACTCTGTAGGCAACCACTCAAATGTTGATGTAAATAACTTCACAGGAAACTCCTACACTGCCAACTACTCGATGTCAAATGTTACTGGAGCAACATGAGCCACACTTGCTCGAATTGAAATCCCTTAATCAATCATACCTCCCTGACAAGGGTCACTGAACAACCCGTCCTCGACTTAAATCCATTACATCCAGCGGTCGACCCCATAGACGCATTCATAAATCTTTATATGTTGTTCATTCAAAACGGGAATTTTCTCAAATATAGATTATTATAATATATTAGCATATTATGCATATATAGGTTAGGTTAGGTCTTTAGGTTCTGTTGACGATTATTTATATTTGTAGTACGTGGGTGAAGCATTTACAGCGTTATAGTTCGAACAAAATTTGTCAGTGAAGTACTTGTTCCAGAAGTGTTCGAACGAAATGAGTTGAGTCGTGTGTAAACCATTTTTCATTCATAAACAGGGGGTTTGGCGGGTGCATGGAATCACTTTTGGATCTTTGTTTGGAGGACGGGCTGGTATGGACTTGAGTCGAGGATGGGTTGGTTTATGAACGAAAAATGGTTTACACATGACTCGCAACTGATTTCGTTCGAACACTTCGGAACAAGTACTTCACTGACAAATTTTGTTCGAACTATAACGCTGTAAATGCTTCACCCACGTACTACAAATATAAATAATCGTCAACAGAACCTAAAGACCTAACCTAACCTATATATGCATAATATGCTAATATATTATAATAATCTATATTTGAGAAAATTCCCGTTTTGAATGAACAACATGTAAAGATTTATGAATGCGTCTATGGGGTCGACCGCTGGATGTAATGGATTTAAGTCGAGGACGGGTTGCAGCCCGTCCTCCAAACAAAGATCCAAAAGTGATTCCATGCACCCGCCAAACCCCCTGTTTATGAATGAAAAACGGTTTACACACGACTCACAACTCATTTCGTTCGAACACTTCTGGAACAAATGCTTCACTGACGAATTTTGTTCGAACCACAACGCTATAAATGCTTCACCCACGTACTGCAAATACAAATAATCGCCAACAGAACCTAAACACCTAACCTATGCCTATGTATACACAAGATGCTAATATGGAATGTCATATATAAAATGTCACATACATATATAATATTAATTTATATTTAAGAAAATTCCTGTTTTGAATGAACAGCATGTTAAAATTAATGAATGCGTCTGTGGGGTTGATCGTTGGATGGAATGGACTTGAGTTGAGGACGGGTTGTGTGTAAAACGTTTTTCATTCATAAACAGGGGACGGGTGCATGGAATCACTTTTAGGTCTTTGGAGGACGGGTTGTGCACTGAAGTACTGTAGTATGAACTTCAATTGCTTAAACTGCACTTCCTTGTTGCTATCAATCCTGTAATGACCGGGATTGAATGCCCTGTTTTATGAGATCTTGTACACTGGCTGTGGTGTAATCATACGGTTGTGATCTTTCTTACTGCTAAAATCCATACAGCCAGGACTGTAGGTCATGATTTTAGACTACCGGCTTCACTTAAGTTGCACCTAGATCCTGCACTCAGGAATCTTACCCGACATGGTATTGGCTATTGAAAATTGCACAAATCTTTATGAATATCAAACAGGGCCATCACATATGCTCTCTCATCATCCTAGACTCAGTACGTCAGTCTGGCATGGTGCACATTCACAAATTGTACTTTATTTAGGGGGCAGACTTATACACCCTTCTATTCACCTAGTTGTGCTTGTGGGGTTAAGCTCTGCTCTTTCGGGCCGTCTATTAACTGTCAATCAATCAACTGTTACTACTATTTTTTTCCCCACACACCCAGGAAGCAGCCCATAACAGCTGTATAACTCCCAAGTACCTATTTACTGCTAGGTAACAGGGGGCATCAGGGTGAATGAAACTATGCCCATTTGTTTCTGCCTAGTCCGGGAATCAAACCCGGGCCACAGGATTACAAGTCCCACGCGCTGTCCACTCGGCTACCAGAACCCCTCACTTGCATGAACAAATGTCAGCGAGATCTACTGGTCAATGAGCTACCTCCAAGCAGTTCCTCAGAGGTCACATGAGCCCAGGTCACACATTGATTTACAGGTCAGTGCAACCAACATCCAGTAAATCATGGTGTTCTTCTGCATCCGGGCTTCTTAGACAGGGCTCTCCTCTCTGGGGGCCAAAAATATCAGCGATGCAACACCACTCCCGGATGCCATGTTTGAAATTCAGCAGGCTAGGCTGTTCATTCAAATTTACATTTTGCTAATAAACTCAAAATTAACACATCTTATGGTTACATAAATTTAACAAATTATGTGTCGGCCGTCTCACATATTTGAAAAGGTCAGAGTATGACACTTGACAGTGGGAAGAGGAGTGTTGTCTAGACAGTACTGTTATATTTGGGAATACATATGGCAGCTCAAGCCTGGGGCCCGATTCACGAAGCAGTCATGCATGCACTTACGAACGTGTACATCTTTAATCAGTCTTTGAAGCCTTTGGTTACGTTTATTAAACAGTTTACAAGCATGAAAACTTCCCAATCAACTGTTGTTATTGTTATAAACAGCCTCCTTGTGCTTCAGAGCTCATTAACTGTTTAATAATTGTAAACAAAGCCTGCAAAGGTTGAGAAAGATGTACACTTTCGTAAGTACTTGCGTAACTGCTTCGAGAATCTGGCCCCTGGAAGACTATCAACACCATATGTGGTACACAATAGTACAGGATTCTTGGTATCATTCAGGATGCCAATAAGAGAGCAAAAACACACACATGACTAGTAATGTTAAAGGTATCAGATTCACCATCGATCTCATTGATGGACAAGTGACTTGACAGGCCATTAGGTAAGCCAGTTCTATAATCATCCTGAAAACCAAGATTTTGTACGATGAGGTGAATGATCTTAAATGAGAATTGCAGCTCTGACAAGAAGGTTAGCAAGGCAGCTTTGTGGTAACTCCAGCTCTCCCAACCTGGATGTGTCACAATAATGTGGTTGAATACAAGTATTCCAACCCATGCCTAGTAAGATTCAGGACAGACTGAAATGACATCATTTTCAAGTCGTGTGTGTGTGTGTGGCTTGGGTTATTTATTATTACTACATATCTATGGAGTTCTCAATGTGGTTTTTGAAAGTTTGTAAGTACGTGCTGTTTATTGATACGATACAGTATATGGGTTTTGGAGCAGAGCTGGAGATGGAGTGTATAGTACTCGGAACCTGACAAGCATTTCACTTTTAAAACAAAGCAGACAGGATGGTTCAAAAATATGCATGTTGTTTAAGTTAAATATATTTAAAAATACAATATTTAAGATCTTTGGTGATCACACACATACAAACACACACACACATTTCTCAGGAATCTGTACACCTGTTGATTGACGGTTGAGAGGCGGGACCAAAGAGCCAGAGCTCAACCCCCATAAACACAACTAGGTGAGTACAACTAGGTGAGTACACACATACACACGAGCACATACTTATACAAATAATACACCATTTCTACACAAAAACACCTCGCAGATCTTTCACCTTAAACATTATTATAATAAATCTATCCATATGTACGAAATACATTTTCTGCATTGAATGAAGACTGGCAAATACATAAATACTTAGAAAATATAAACCACATATTTGTGTGTCAGATATAACAAAAATCCGCCTACTGTACTGGATTAGTTTGCATTAGTTTGCATGGGGGCCTGACAGCCGAGTGAACAGCGCTCAGGATTCATAGTCCTGAAGGGTCCGGGTTCGATCCCTGGTGGAGGCGGAAACATATAAGCAGAGTTTCTTTCACCCTGATGCATCTGTTCACCTAGCAGTAAATAGCTAACTGGGAGTTAGACAGCTGCTACGGGCTGCTTCCTGGGGGGTGTAACAAAAAAGGAGGCCTGGTCGAGGACCGGGCCGCAGGGACGCTAAGCCCCAAAATCATCAAGATTACCTCAAGAAGATGACCGGATTGCAGGGATATTGATCCCTGAAATCTTCAACAGGTAGTATGACTGAACTTACAGAAAGTGTCTGAATTTGTATAAATCTTAATCCAAAGAAATTTATGATTTATTATAAATATTATAAAAAGATACATGAAAACCAAAAACTTCCACAAGGAATATCCTACAAACAACAATTCTAGCGACACCTTTCATTTAAGTGCTTACCAACAAAATACAATATTAATATTACTGTACTTTATTATACACCTAATTATGTCACACCGATGTATACTTCAAGCTAAGCCATCAGGATAAGCATTCTGAACCAGATGCAATGCATCCAATAATGGCTCTGGTATAAACTAAATTTCCTACCAAGGTAGAGTTTTTAAAATTACGAATGAACTTTCTGGAAAAATAATAATAATATTAATAATGAAATAATTAAAATCTGGCCATCAAACCTGTATTTATTACAAAATATATTTTACAGTAAATAATAAAAATTTTAAAACAATAAAAATTAAAGTTTTAGTGTTACGATATTAAGTTAGGCAACAATTTCAGCTTATAATTAAATTAAATTTATGCTTTATTTACATATAAAATATCAGGCATACATAGCTAATTCACAAATATCGGCTGTAGTGTTTCCACATGGTGACACCACAACTGACGGTGGGAAAGTTACCCAGCAGCAAATCGGCAAATATGATGCTACAGAACCCAAATCTGAGCACACCATCACAGGCAAATTCCTCTCGGCTCTTCACAGTTTTGGGGTGACAACATTTACCTAAAGCTGCACAACAAGCATGATATCTTTATGCCATGCCATCACTAGCAAATAATAAAACATTAAATGTTAAAAAATGAAAGTTACCCACTGGAAAGAAATGAATTTCTTTCCCTCACTTTCCGTAAGGGGTAAATATTTCATAATCTAATACAGTAAAATTATAATCGCTCATTAGCGTATTGCATGACGCATTTTCACCATCATATGAATGCGGAAGATTGGAATAACTTTCAAGATTTTGATTGCAATTTCCAGCAATGAAGAGATCAGCCCCAGCACCAAATATGGGTCCACAACTGCAAGATTAAAATATGAATGAAGATAAATAACTAAATTCTATGGTAAAATTCTATTTTATAGCCCTGGCCCTAATTAATATAAAATGTCCATCAATTTAGCATGATAGTCATATGAGTGCATTTACTAATTTTACAATTACTACAAGGTGAAATTCAAGCAAAATTATGTTTTCTTTCATTTCAATCAAACAAAAATTACAAAGACACCATACATTTCTTGAACTTACTCAGGGTGGTAGCATATTGCAAACATCTTTTTAACTACAGGAAATTTGGCAGGGGGCATATCTTGATTATTAACAAGAGTGAAAAGGAATGCCTTGTCAGATGCCACATAGCGCCCCTTCATTGTTGTCTTGCCCCAAGGTACATCACTAAAACCTCCGCATATTTCACCATGCTGACCCTGTTGAATTCGAGTCTCCAAGTTAAAAATTAAAACCATTTAAAGAAAAGGAGGGAGCAGAGAATAAATCCCAATAACGTGGCTGAAACAATTAATGTGACCGAAGCAAATAACCTAACCCACACAAAAAGGAGAATCAAAATGTTTTGACACATTCTGGACGGACCAAAACACCTCCCCTTTCTTTTCATTTCAATTCATATGTGTGGGTTGGGTTATGAGAGAAGAGTGTGTATGAGAGTGGAATAAAGGAATCACATGGTATAGGCAAACCAAATGGTGTCTTTGAATAGAAGAGTAGAACAATGCACTGTACTCAGGGTGGTAGCATATTGCAAACATCTTAATTACAGGAAATTTGGCAGGGGACATGTAGCTTGTGAAAATAGTCCTTTTCACAAGTGTGAAAAGGACTGTTTTGTCAGATGCCACATAGCGCCCAAAATCAACATCGTCTGGCTAAAGGAAAATTATTTAAAAATCATTAAAGTGATTTTTACACCCAACACTTGTTAATGCAGAGCTGATCAGGGAATTCAATATATATTTTGAGTGGGATTTTTCTCCGTTCAGTCATGTTATTGGTAAAATTCTGGCATGTACAAAATGTGAGATTCTCACACACACATATTTCTGACATGGATGAAAAATTTTCTAACTGACAGACAGATGAGGGCACTAATCAGAGACAATGCATCTGACTGGAGGAGTGTTACTAATGGAGTACCACAGGGTTCAGTTCTTGCACCAGTAATGTTCATCGTCTACATAAACAATCTACCAGAAGGAATACAGAATTATATGAACATGTTTGCAGATGATGCTAAGATACTGAGGAAGATAGGAGATGTAGGCAATTGTAATGCCCTTCAAATTCATCTGGATAAAATAAGGGCTTGGAATGTCAAGTGGCAAATGGAATTCAATAATTATAAATGCCATGTTATGGAATGTGGAATCAGAGAAAATAAACCACATACAACTTACAAATTATGTGGAAAGGAATTACAAAACTCTAATAAAGAACGAGATCTAGGGGTGGTTTTGGATAGTAAGCTGTCACCAGAGGAACACAAAAGACATCGTGAGAGAAACATATGCATCTCTTTCCAACTTCAGACTTGCTTTTAATTACTGTATATGGTTGGCAAAATATTAAAAAATTGTTCATTACTAAAAGTGAGACCAAAATTGGAATATGCAGCAGTTGTATGGTGTCCAAATCTCAAGAGACACAAATAAACTGGAAAAGGTGCAATGGCATGCTACAAAATGGATTCCAGAACTGAAAAACAAGAGTTACGAGGAGAGACTAAGAGTCATTAAACATGCCAAAACTAGAAGATAGAAGAAAGAAAGGTGATATGATCACCACTTACAAAATACTAACAGGAATAGACCAAATTGACAATGTGGACTTCCTGATATCAGCAACTTCATGAACAAGATGACACAGATTCAAGCTAAGAAAACAAGGTGCCGAGAAAATACTGTACCTGTATTAGAAAATTTTCCTTTGCAAACAGTGGTAGACAATTGGAACAAACTAAGTGAGGAGGTGGTGGAGGGCAACTCTGTCAGTAGTTTCAAACCTTTATATGACAAAGAGTACTATGAAGACAAGACACCACCAGCACCGGCAGCTAGTGTATTGTGCACCCCAAACTCATCCTGTGAGCGGTAGTGCAAAAAAAGGATTACAGAAGGGCTTTATCAGACCTCAGAGATTAGTACATTAACAATTTCATCTATCCTTCTCACCTTATAATATCAATGTCAACTAGTTACAGAGAATGCTCTATTTCAAGAGCGATATATTTATAGTAAGTCATTATACATTAATGTTAGTTCTTATTGCTAATGCATAATTGTTTGAGCAATGGAGATATTACCGAGTCATAGGGAAGCTGCTGTTTATTATTAGTCTTCACAATACACTACTTGTTTCTTAATCTCATGTCTCGTTTATCTACTTGGAGAGAAATATGGATACAGTGCAAGGATTTCAGGTATTTTATCCTTAGTAATAAGATGGTTTGTAATTTCTTGTAATGCGAGTTTAGATTTATCTCTCTATATGGCTCAATTTTACTACAGTCCAAGATATAATATTCAAGTGTGTGTCCCTGTCTTTGTCCACACTCTTTGCCCTTAACTTTATCTAGAACCCCTATACAAGCCGAAAGGCCAGAGTTACTTGTAGCCAAGTCTTATTTGAGCTGTCACAATGTCTGTTTTTGTTACTTAGCCCATATACATGTTTTACTTGACACATTTCATTATGGTGAACAATGGACCCGCTAATTCCAGTTTGCACTGTTCTGATTTCTTCAAATTCATCCAAGAGTTCTCGTCTAGTGACACTTTTAAGGGATCTATTTGATAACTCAAGATTCCGTTCAGCACTCTCTTTATTTACTGCAACCTTAGCAAGGGCGTCAACTTTATCATGTTCCTGCAGGCCAATGTTAGAAGGAATTTCACAACATTTTGATATTTACCTTTTTATTTAGTACGATTATATATCTATGTCTGGCTCCAAAGACAAGCACGTTATTCGTGCTTGTTTCTGAAGCACGAAAACTTTGAAGCACTTTGCACTTGATTGCAAACTACTGCTAATAGTGAGGCAAGGGAGTCGGAAATAATTAAGCTGTCAACTTCAATGTTGTCAATAATTTCGAGTGCTACCAGTATTGCTACCAACTCAGCTTGCATTGTGGATGCCCAGTTACTAACTTTTATATTCCTTTGAACTGTGCTGCCATTGGACTGATGAGCACTTCCTGTCCTCCCTGTAGCTGTATTGAGTGATCTGTCAGTGTATATGGTCTGTGCGATGTTTTTAGTTTTTATATTGTGAATGTGTTCTATGGTGCTTATTATAGCAGCAAGCTGAACATGAGGGTTGTTTGTAATTAGTTTTTTGGTGGGGTATGCAGGCATCAGGATGTCAAAAGGTACTGTAGCGAGTAGATTATCCCAATAATATACTCGCTCCAAATATAGTGTTAATATTCCTGTCAACCTTTGGAGATGAATGAGGCGAGGCGTTGCCCGGGCAGCACGGTGAGGTGTTGCCCGAGCAATATAAGCGGCAAGAATAGCAAACATTAACTAGTCTACTTTCAAGTGTGGTCTAGAGCAGACACTTGCAAGATACTGTACCAACGCTCAGTGCGCTCAACTCACACCAACGTATCACCTGTGTACTTCTGTATATTCGACCAAATATATATATAGTATCTTAGTGTCTGTGTTTATTTGTCAGCATACTTTACGTAACAATAGAACCGTTACAGTACTATCTGCCAGGGTGGGAGGAAGTGCTGTACTCTTTCATCTGTACATACATCGTTCAGTCCCATTATTTTAATGTGTGTGCTGTTCTTTGAATACATTTAGACTCGCTGGTACCATTACACATGTGTTCTAACAGTTCAACTGACACAATGTTGCTTTTGCTATCACGCAGAAGCTTTAGTCCCATCATAAGATTGATTTCAAACATTCTATCTTTAATGCTAGGTATACTTAATTCTTTCTGCATATTGAGAACTTTGGTAGTTATAGGGCAGCCAAGTATAATTCTGGGTGCTTTATTTTACATTTTTTCCAGCCTATCAATACTTTTGCCATTTTGCAGGACTAAAGCTGGTGCATGATAGTCTATCAGAGACCTTATATATATGCTAAGTACATAATTTTTGCTATTCTAATATTAACACCGTATTTAGGGCTGTAACCCACTACAATTCTGAGAGCCTTGAGTCTGTCTCTACATTGCTGATGTAACTTATTGACTGAAGTCAAGGTACAAGGGACAGAGACACCAAGGTATTTGAAAGAAGAGTCAATTGGTATGTTAACTATCAATCCACCAGCATAGCTCTCATCCTGTAACTACACTTGGGTAATTACACTTAGATAATTACACAAATGGGAAAATTATTGCTAGCAATTTAATTGCTAGAAATCTTGCTAGAGTTGAGCATTATACATTGATGAGTAATAGTTTACATAGCCCAGTCTTTGCCCATTTGAATGAAGATAACCTAGATACTGGATTGGGTGTCTGAAATTACATACTTAACCTGCAAAACTCATTGTCTACATTTATGGTTTTCAACATTGGAAGAATTTATAGGGACACTTCTGACATGGATGAAAATTTGTCTAACAGACAGAAAAATGAGGGAAGTAATCAGAGGTAATGTATCAGACTGGAGCAGTGTTACCAGTGGAGTACCACAGGGTTCAGTTCTAGCACCAGTTATGTTAATTTTTATATAAATGATCTTCATGAAGGAATAAAGAATTATATGAACATATTTGCTGATGATGTGAAGATACTAGGGAAGGTAAGATAAGAGTACTAGGGAACTTAGATGACTGTCATGCCCTTCAAGAAGACCTGGACAAAGTAAGTGGATGAAGCAACACTTAGCAAACAAAACTTATGTGAATAAATGCCATGTTATGGAATGTGAAATAGGAGAAAATAGGCCGCTTACAACCTACAAATTATGTGAAAAAACTTCACAGAATTCTGATACAGAAAGAGATCTTGGGATGGTTCCGGATAAAAAAAACTGTCCCCCTGAGGACCACAAAGAACATGGGTGAGGAGTTTATGTTATGCATTCCAGCTTTAACATCACTTTTAAATACATGATGGCGAAATATTAAAGAAATTATTCACTTAGTGAAACCAAAATTGGACTATGCTGCAGTTGTATGGTACCCATATCTCAAGTAGCACATCACTAAACTAGAAAAGGTGCAAAGACATGCAATTAAATGACTTTTGGAACTGAAAAACAAGAGCTACGATGAGAGGTTAGCAGTGTTAAATATACCAAAGCTAGAAGATAGGAGAAAAAGAGGTGATATGATCACTATACAGTATACAAAATAGTAACAAGAAATGACAAAACTGACAAAGAAGAATTATGAAAACTACAACTTCAAGAAGATGACATAGGTTCAAACTAAGGAAACAAAGCTCCAGAACAGACATTAGAAAGTTCACTTTCACAAATAGAATGGCAGACAGTTAGAACAAGTTAGGAGAAGGTGGTGGAGGCCAAAACCGTCAGCAGTTTCAAAGTGTTATATAATAAAGAGTACCGGGAAGACGGAACGCCATAAGAGTAGGTTTCATCCTACAACTGCACTTAGGTAATTACACCTCGGTAATTACTTAAATCAGAAAATCAGTGGTGTGTGATACAACAAAGGGGATAGGCAGATACAAACAAATCAAGATATGAACAGAAATAGTCACAATATTGGGTCAAATAAATGTATGACAGATTAACATGCAGCAAGTGAAAATTATCCTATAATATATTTCAGTCCATAACAGACCATAATAAAGTTGAAACTTTGTAATGATCCAGGGTTAACCATAATGTTGTAACAGTTCATCTTAAAACATTTACGCTACTAACCATAACAATAGTGTATGTTGGAGCAACACCGTCACAGTGGCGATGAAATGCATCAGCAGAATAGCCATGGGTGGAAGCTCGATACACAAGCCGCCACATTTGTTTGTTTGCACCATACCAGCTGTTCAACACACGTTGCAGTGACATTTTATCCTGGAAAAAAAAAACTTGAATGTAATGAAACGCCATTTTCTAGGTGAGCCCCAGAGGCTCCCTGGAGCTATGGGACTGATATACGCTGTATTAGTCTGGGGCATCAGTCAGTTGGCGTTCTGCCTACCAGGGCATCAATCAGTTGGAGTTCTGCCTACCGGGAACCACGAGCTAGAACCTGACCCCCCTCAGAGAGGCACAGGGAGAATGGCCTATGGAAACCCTCATGTGTTTGGGAGCATTCCATGTCTGCCATCGACCAGGGTTAGGCACCTAGAAAGGTAGACATAACAAAACAAACCCCACCTGTTAAGAAATTGCAACCGATGACCAGGGACGAGCCATCCCTAGGCGCATGCAGCCTGAGTACTGGAGACTCATTCCCGGCTCACACACCACCTAGAAGACAGACACCACACTCTAGGTACAGTGCTGAAACCACTGGAGCCGGAGCACACAACTAGTGCCATTAGCATCAGCCGAAGAACTGGGGTGTGGATCGCCGGTGTGGTAGGTCTGGGGCTACCTTTACTGGATGCGCTTTGGCCTGCTCTGGGGAACGATGCTCGCCACTGCCCCCCCGAATGAGAAGGCAGGAGGCAAACTGGGAATCCCCCTAATAACATTATCAGGTGAGGAGTTTGACTGGGGTGGTACATCTGTCAAATGATAACGCAGGTGTCCTAAGGCCAGCTCAGCGTGGACAGAAACCTCGCGTAGAGCAAAAGGGCAAATGCTGGCTTGATCCTGATTTTCAGTACGAATATGGATACGTACTTCAAAGCCATTAAGAGAAGTAGGAATTCTGGGGTATTTAACCAACCAGAACTACCCCTTCCCCCTCCCGGGGAGGGGAGAGCTGCACAGACAGCGGCGCAATGATGGGTGACGTCATACTAGTTTGCCTGTTTTTATTTGGGGAGTTCTATCCACTCGTTCGGTTTTTGGTTGCAATTTTCACCAGAATAGGGGTTTGTTTTGGGACGCCTACCCTTCTGGGTGCCTAACCCGGTCAATGGCAGACATAGAATGCTTCCAACCACACGGGGGTTTCTATAGGCCATTGCTCCCCTTGCCTCTCTGAGGGGGCCAGGTTCTGGCTCGTGGTCCCCGGTAGGCCCATAAGAACTCCGTACACATGACTGATGCCAAAGTCTGACATTAGCATATCAGCCTGGTAAGCTCCAGGGAGCCATAGGGGCTTCCCCCAGAAAATACAATATATGCAAATGATACAGCTCTTTTAACAGATAAGACAGGAATACTTGTAGATTAATTGAACATTTTGTTGATACACGTCAAAGAAAACTGTTAAAAGTAAGCATAGGCAAAATTACAATAATGTGTAGAAGAGAAAATGAACCTTGGCAAGTGAAGTACAGTGTAATGATAAATAAGCAAATTCTAAACATTATTAATTAGTTTAAATACTTCAACTCTAATTTAGAGGAGATTCTGCAGGAAAAATTGAGAGCTGTGTCAGGCAAATAAAATGGCTGGTATAGTACAACAAAAACTAAGTTAGAAAGTATTAGAAGGCATGCCATTACTCAAACTTCTTAAAGACATGAGACACTAGAGTAACAAAAACAAAAAAAATACAAAAGTTAAAGAGCTGTTGAAACAGACAGATGAAAGTGTGGTATTAGGAGGATACAGTAAGGAACACTAAAAATGTCCTGATAAGTGAGGAATGCAGGTCAGTAAATTGAATGATTGAGGAGAGAGCATCGAGATCGTTCAGTCATATTTGCCAAACAGAAGAAAAGAATGGTCAAGAGAAGTTGAAAGTAAGAGGAAGATGGGGGAAACCATTCAGGAAATAGACAGACAAAGCACATGATGAAGTGGAGACCAAGAATAAAAAGTACACATGTGATACAGAACAAGGCTAAAAGTAACCACGAGTGAATGATTGACATTTTTTATATGACAATATGGCAACTCTCAAGAAGCATTTTACATCTGATTTACCCGAGGGCCACTAACCCTAGTGGTCTCAATGAGGACAGGAAGCCGGAAGCTTGTCAAAGGTTCCCCATTTGCCTTGATCTTTACCAGGTAGATTTTAAAACAGCAGTTTTGGCAGTTATGGCTTAATGCAATGCAATCTTAATGCAATCTAGTTGCATTAAGTGGTAGGGTGCTGCTATGTACTTATTCATGGAGTGCAGCATTCTCAGTACATGATGCTACAGTATGTAGCATAAAAGATAGAGAATATATGGGATACCTGGTTGATACCTGGTTGATGGGGTTCTGGGAGTTCTTCTACTCCCCAAGCCCGGCCCGAGGCCAGGCTCGACTTGTGAGAGTTTGGTCCACCAGGCTGTTGCTTGGAGCGGCCCGCAGGCCCACATACCCACCACAGCCCGGTTGGTCCGGCACTCCTTGGAGGAATAAATCTAGTTTCCTCTTGAAAATGTCCACGGTTGTTCCGGCAATATTTCTTATGCTTGCTGGGAGGACGTTGAACAACCGCGGACCTCTGATGTTTATACAGTGTTCTCTGATTGTGCCTATGGCACCTCTGCTCTTCATTGGTTCTATTCTACATTTTCTTCCATGTCGTTCACTCCAGTACGTTGTTATTTTACTGTGTAGATTTGGTACTTGGCCCTCCAGTATCTTCCAGGTGTATATTATTTGATATCTCTCTCGTCTTCTTTCTAGTGAGTACATTTGGAGGGCTTTGAGACGATCCCAATAATTTAGATGCTTTATTGCGTCTATGCGTGCCGTATATGTTCTCTGTATTCCCTCTATTTCAGCAATCTCTCCTGCTCTGAAGGGGGAAGTGAGTACTGAGCAGTACTCAAGACGGGACAACACAAGTGACTTGAAGAGTACAACCATTGTGATGGGATCCCTGGATTTGAAAGTTCTCGTAATCCGTCCTATCATTTTTCTGGTTGTCGCAATATTTGCTTGGTTATGCTCCTTGAACGTTAGGTCATCAGACATTATTATTCCCAAATCCTTTACATGCTGTTTTCCTACTATGGGTACATTTGATTGTGTTTTGTACTCTGTATTATGTTTAAGGTCCTCATTTTTACCGTACCTGAGTACCTGGAATTTATCACTGTTAAACATCATGTTATTTCCTGATGCCCAGTCGAAAACTTTATTAATATCAGCTTGAAGTTTTTCAATGTCCTCAGCCGAGGTAATTTTCATACTGATTTTTGTGTCATCTGCAAAGGATGATACGAAGCTGTGACTTGTATTTTTGTCTATATCTGATATGAGAATAAGGAAAAGCAGCGGTGCAAGGACTGTACCCTGAGGTACAGAGCTTTTCACTGCATTTGGACTAGATTTTATATGGTTGACAGTTACTCGCCGAGTCCTGTTTGACAGAAAACTGAGTATCCAGCGCCCTACTTTACCGGTTATTCCCATTGACTTCATTTTGTGTGCTATCACACCATGGTCACATGGGGTGTTTAGTTCAAAGATCTTTATTATTCTTTTTGTATTTCTTCTATTATGAATCCAGAGTTGATGCCTTCTATGAAAATGGGAAACCATTAGTGTTGATGATAATTACAATGTGTTGTGTATACAGTATTTCTGGTATAACCATCAATATACCTCATCTTTCAGAACCGGTGCTATAAACGGTGTGAACCTGAGGGGCTCGACTCACACAGGTGCAATGTTTTCCAAAACAGGTGTTTGTGAATTTTTGAGCAAGGGATTCATACAATCTGGTTTGACAGCCAAGGAATGCATACCCTTGTAAAATTAGAGTACTGTATTAAAATTTGAGTATTGGAACAAACTAGTGTTTACTACACACACACACACACACACACACACACACACACACACACACACACACACTTACATTAATAAGTATTTGCGATCCAGCAAACAGTTTGAGCGACACACGAGGCTGAAGTCGTTTATCTTCATTAGTAGAGTTATCTTTGAATTTGTTGGGAAGAGCTGCATATCTGTACCGCTCTAAAGACAACTCCATGGGTACGGCACCTGTTGGTTCTACTTCCTCAGCAAACACTTGGCTGTCTGAAATGTACATTTTTGCTAAGGTTAATAGCAAAATTAAGTCCAAATTGTGTGTGCAAATAATCGCGTAGAAACTTGTGCTCAGCTACAGATTTATAACAGTAGGAATCTTAATTGATGGAGTGAGTACCTACTGTGTATTGGCCAACAATGAACAAAATTTGTCACATACATCAGGATATATAAATAGGTTTCTGGAAACTTCAGATGATACATTCCCAAACTGTGGGACACATTCCTCTAGTATGGATGTGAGAAATGTCCAAGTGGAATGCACGACAAATCCTGCAACAGTGGAAGTATGAGGTTGCAAATGTCTATTAACCCTTGAACAGCTCCACATCTATCAGCGCTTACCTCCTGTGCTCACACAAAGGGTCGAATAAATTTATTTACTATCCAGAAACTGGCAAGTACTACAGGAAAGGTTACGAAGAAATGGATGAACCGTGGAAGTGAAGCTATATACAAGCATAGATGTGTGGTACATAAAACATACAGTAATTTGGAGAAAAGTATTTGGCTATCAAGAATTTTGGATATAGGAGGAAGTGTGAAGATACCAGCCAAAACCAAAACCAGAGAGAAGAGACAATAAACAAACAGGCAAGAAGGGTTTCAACATGACTGTATAGGAGGGCTGAGGTCAACACTACTGTATAAGAGGGCTGAGGTCAACACTACTGTATAGGAGGGCTGAGGTCAACACTACTGTATAAGAGGGCTGAGGTCAACACTACTGTATAGGAGGGCTGAGGTCAACACTACTGTATAGGAGGGCTGAGGTCAACACTGCTGGACAAAATTCAGAGAAAGAACGAGGCCAAATCCCATAAACAGCAGCTCCAGAGCCACTGTGTAAATAATGGTGGATGTGCACAAGCTGCTATCTGATGAAAAATAAGTCGAGCACAGACCTTCAATAAGCTGTTGGCTGCCTGTCCCCATTGAGACCATTAGACATGGTGGCCCTTGGGAAAATTCTGGTAAACAAGAAAATATACAAAACTAGCAGGGGCACCTGCCAGGCTACCTCATAATGTAAAGGAATCAAGGAACAAAAGGTGGTGAAAAAAGAAAAAGATAGCAGGAGATACATCTTAGAAATTTGAGTGAGTGTCTTGAAGTGCTCCTGGAACACCAATAACTGATCTCCTGCATGAGGAAGACAGGGAAGGGAGACAGATTGGGGCATCAAGAAAGCAGCCGGAAACCGAACAAGAATTGAGCACAGGGAAGCGAGAAAAAATCTCAAGCCCACAAAATTTGAGAGCACCAGCAAGATGGGAAGCATCATGTGGGCAGGTGTTAAACATCCATTGATTTCAGTCGGTATGAGAGCATCCAGCTAAAGGGCATCACAAACATGAAACTAAGATACACACAGGAAGGAAACAATTTCACACATATGAACAGAACCCTCTGGGACATGAATTTCTTAAGCAGAAAGACACACCATTATGCCAAGCAGCATTTCTACTGGCCATATTTGGGGAGCAGAAAACTATAGATTCTTTCCATGTATTCGGCATTGCTCTGCCCTCTTCCAGTGATATACATGGGTCAAGCAACACCAATTCCAAGAAAATAACTCAAACAACGTAAATAAGTGCACAGCACTTCTTTAACTTACCAATAAGGAGAAGGCGCACATGATTGATAACTCCCTGCAGCTGTTGGCACACTCTCAGTCTTTCCTCCTCTGTCCAGTGTGGGGTGGGCTGTGCAACACCTGCTCCATACTTAGCCCAGTTTAACACACCACGCCACACGTCCTCCTCCTCTAGCGCAAGCTCAAGAACCAAAACAAAATTATAACATGAAAAAATACGAAATCTTTAATTTTCCATTTCATAGAAATGCTTCATTCCATCTTTACAGTGGGATAAATCACTTTCAATCACCAATTATGATTATATAAATCTGCATTTATCACTACAACATTTAAAATGAGAGCAGTAATGAACTTGTTCCTCTTAAGTGCATTCCTTAGTTCACTCTTACATTGCACACCAACTTGACGACATTAACTCTTACACTGCTCCAATCACTATTTGCAATTTCCTCCCGTGCTCACATTGGCCTATACGATTCATTCATTTGATGACTGGGTCCCAGTAGTACAGTCTGGCTCATTCTCGAATCACAACTGAGACTTCTGTGTTTGAATCCCAGGCGGGACAGAAATTGTTGGGCACATTTCCTATCACCTAATGCACCTGATCACCTAGCAGTAAGTGGGTGTACTCAAGACTTATTCAACTTCTTGTGGGGTTGCATCCTGGGTGGGGTCAGTAATTTGACCCCACCCCGGTTAAGGTTTCCCCCCCCCCCCACCCGGGAGGGGGGGGGGAGAACCTTGATACAAGCCTAAACATGTATTAATACATCGTGTCGGGCTGCCGGTCCCAACACAATGAATTATTATTAACTACTATTCTTTTAGGCTTTCAATACACTTTTCTCCATGTGCATCTGGGTGTAAATAGCCTACTAGTTTAAGGGGTAATGGAGACTGCCTGAAGTTTACGGATAAGAAAGCAACCAAGGCAAGGAAAGCCAGGGGGTAAACTTTTCATTCCCTCAGATTTCAATCATGGTGAAAAAAGGATTGAGGAATAAAAGAACCCCCCCCCCCCCCATGGTGGGAAGGATATATAAAGATTAAGGTTAGTGGATATGGCAGAAAAGCATTTACTAGAGCAATACATCACAAACCTAGAAGCTAGAGCAATTATGACCCATACTTCAAATTTGTGTAAACTAGCCCAACTATAAAATGTACAATATTTCAATTTCAATTTAATTAAGTAACAAACTTTTGATGAAGTATTTACTCAAAAATGAAGCTGAACCATTTGGGCAGGATGGTAAAGTGACGACCTCACATCATGCAGGTCGACAGTCAATCACCGACTGTCCAAAGGGTTGGACACCATTTCTTACCCCCTCCCCCCCCTATGCCATCCCAAATCCTTATCCTGATCCTTTCCATGAGCTATATAATCATAATGGCTTGCCACTTTCTCCAGATAAATTCCCCCCCCACCCCCTCACTTAAAATGAGACAAAAAACAATGACCACTGAGAGCCAGTAACCACTGCACTACACCATTACATTGTTGAGCTCAAGATGAGGGACCAGATCATAAAACTAGTTGAAGGAAGGTACAAAATATCGAAGGGTAAAAATTCTACTGGCAATTTCCTTGGTCAAGCTATGGAGAAATACTTAAAATTAAATAAAGAAATAAATTGCATTTTTTTTTTACAGAAGCCACAGATAAACTCAACATCCTTCCATACATAAATAAATCAATTATTAAAAATATTTAACTATGCATTTGACTTCCAAATGACTTACATTATCAGAGGAGATTAGTCTGATCAGTGCCTCACGGGATAGATTGAGGAAAGATGATGTCTGCATACATTCCAAGGCATTTTCCCCAATGTGTGCAACACATCGATCAACAAAAGAGCGGCTACCTTTACTACCTAGAAACATTAAATTAATGAATAATAATAAAAAAAGAGTGTCCCAAATCATTGACATTATTATAAACATGTACAGAGTACAGTATTATGAAATCAAAATAACATGATATATCCGAGAAAATCTTTGGAGCAATGTGGAAAGAATCAAACCCGAACTGGTTACCCCCAGTTCCCACTAGACCACGACAAGCTTAAAAGCAGTACAATCTTATTATACCGAATTTACAAGGAATTTGAAATCCACCTAGCTGGTACTAAAGTACAAGCTAGTTCAATTCCACCACATTTCTCCAAAAGTTTCTTAATTAAACATTACAACTTAAAAAATTTCATAATTAAAATTGCGTATTCAATACAGCATCGTTAAACATTCATAAATCACCACTCGGGAAATGTTTATTACAAAGTAAACAGTAGACAAACCTCCTGTGCGCTGCTCCATTTTGAGTGCAGCCATAAGAAACGTACAGGCATTATGAGGCGTCATAGTCGTGGCAATGTGGTCCTCACAATGCTGACAGAGTTCTTCCAAGCCCAGATCGTGACCAACACCATAAACCTCAAAGACACCGCTATCACTCATTACTACCTGGTATAAAACATTGACACAATCAAAATATAAAACAGAGCTGTACAATACACCAGCATAATAAGAGAAGGCTAATAAGGAAAAACAAAATTGAAATTAGAGGTATGCCGATACCAATATTTGGACCGATACCAATATTTGTTTTTGGTTTCATTTGCTCCTGGTTGTCTGGTTGGGAAGCTCCCATGCTCTCCTCCGGAGGTGGGGTTTTTGTTCCATTGGTTATGGTGGGTGTTATGTTTGCAGCCAGCTCCTCCTTTTCTGGCAAAGAGTCATTTGGCTTCCAGAGGACCTTTGGTTGTTGATGCTGGATAAGGCCGAGAATGCATCATGTGTTGTGTCCGGTGGTGAAGAGCTACCTTCATGCCACCAATTCTGCTTTGGTGGATACCTTATGGGTTGATCCAGTTTCCTTGGTCCCCAGTTCCATGACTCTTTAAGTTCCATTCGTCTGCAATGTTATTAAGTCTAGGTGAATATTCCTGGGCCTCAGCCCTCTTCTGTACCTTTAGGTCATGTGCACATGACCTAAGGCCTCAACAAGCCCCATAGGACTGAGAACAGGAGATGCTTCTTCACCCACATAGTAGTTCCACCCATGGAACCACCTAACCACCGAAGCCGTAAATGCCAAACTCCGTTAACACTTAAAGTTCAGCTGGAAAAGATCAAGGCAAATGGGGGGGGGGGCCTTTGACAAACTGCCTGCCTCCTATCCTCATTGAAGCCACTAGTATTAATGACTCTTAGGTAAACTCAGGTAATGTGTCTCTCAGCCAAGTGTCTTGTCCTCACTCTGATTCCTGCAGTTCTCCCTCTTCCCTGGCAAGTTCTCATGTTTTCTTCCTTCTCTGTGGGTAGTTAGCTTCTGGGAGCAACAAGGAGCTTCCCCCTGAAAATCAGTGTTGAATTTAATGAAATGCCAATTTCTGGGTGGCTCAGCATCCCATGGATCCCTGATCCCCTCCTTCCCCTAAAAGTCATTAGATGGATGTCTACATCTGCCCTAGAACTGCAAACTCAGGCCCCAGCAGGCTATCTTCCCCCTTCCCCCAAATGAATGGAGGAGATGAGGCGAACGATCTTGAGCTACTTCTGGGAGAATTCGGGCACTTTTTTACATAGCTGTGAGAGTTCTTTCAGCCAGTTTTAAGACGGTGGTCTCTCTCTCAAATTAAGCAGTACATGTAGTTTGTTCTGACTTGCTGACCTTCTGGTTGCCTTCCCTAATGAGGTAGCAAAACTGTCACAGCTCCCTGTGCTTTTGTGAGGAGGAAGGGGGGGGGGGGGCTGGGTTCTGACTCCAGTCCCTGGTAGGCCTCTAAAACTCTATGACTGATGTGATCCAGTAGATAGTAGCCATAATTCATTGTGAATTGAATCATGGTTAAGCATACTAAGCTTCATCTAAGCATACAGCTTCAGGGAGCCACAAGGGGCTTCCCCCAGAGAAGTATACAGGTATTTTGTAACAAAAATCTATTCTTTACTAAGTATGGATTTTAATGATTAATCAGAATACTGTATATTTTTTTATATTAAATAGTTATTACCTTGCCAGTATATATATAATTGATAACTTGACGGAATACGTTGGGTTGGTACTGTGGCAGGCGGATGGTGGTGTGAGGACTTCCAGGCGTCACCGTGCTGCCAGGAATTGCACAAACCTCGCTACCTGATGCCTCCACAAAACTTTTGCACCTGACAAGAATGGTCAATTATAAAATTAGTAATTATTTAGTTTTATAAGTCCTGCACAGTACCTTTAAAACATATTAATATGCTTACTCTATATAACTTTGGTAGTGTTTTACCAGCAGGTGGAGTCTACTAACTTCCTTGTTGCTCATTCTTTCATATTTATAATTGCCAACTCACTTTCATCCTGAAATACTATGTGTATTAGCTACTTGGTAAGAATGTCCCATTTAATCATCAAAATCCAATACTAACAACCTATTGTACCTAGTATATATATATACTACTGTACAGTATATAAATAAGTAAATAAATACAGCATATTTGTTTTCCTTTTAAAGCTGAACTCTCCTATGCCAACGCCAGTCATTCTATACAGGTACAGAGCTCGAAATACAGTACAGCAGAGTACATCATTTATGTCCATTATTACACTTTTTCCTTTAATACTGTAGTCAACACAAGGGATGCCACCATTATTGTTTCTAACACTAGTCTGTTGCTTGTAATTACAGCCATCAGTCTTGCTAAACAACCAGAATCCATGTACTGTACCTGTATGTAATTAAACACTACAAATTTATTAAATCACTTCAATATTAGATTAATAGCATAATACCTTGCTTTGAGGATGAGTTTGTGTGCAGCGATGTGCGTTTCTTCCCGCCCTACAACAAAAATAATATCGGCAGAGTCTTTGTCTTCCAATAAATGTTGGAGATCTTCCAGGAGTCTTGAAACACCAACCAACGACTTGTCCGAGAAGTGAAGGCCACCTCCCACACGGGTCCCCATGCTGAAAGTGCCAGTCGTGTCACCTCAGGAAGTTAACCATTATTAAATGTTTATAAAAATAATTTGCATTTAATGTAATGAAACACCCTTTTGGTGGGTTATCTCAGAGGCTTTCTGGGATAGCTGCTAAGGGAAACCCTCATAGAAAACCCTTTTTCCTAAATACTGTACAGTAAATTAAATTATTAAATTAAATTTTTTATTCTCGAAAAGTACATACATAGATGAAGAGTTACAAACATAATGTTGGATTTATAGATAGAGCTAGTACATACAATGCCTAAAGTCACTATTACTCACAGCGTTTCGGGCAAGGTGTGGGAAAAAAAACACTTGGACTAGAGCTTAATACTAATTGAGATCAAAGCATACATTGAGTTGAAAAAAGGGAGGGAAAGAAATACATGGCGGAAAACAGCAGTTATACAAGTTGGTCAACAAACAGTGTTGTTTGAAAACAGCAAGACATGAGTTGACATTTAGGGGGGTAAGGTAGATTACATGGAGCTACAATACTTAGTTTTTCTCTTTAACTGGTTGACACAGATGACTGAAGGTAGGTAGATGGATGACAGGTAGTAAATAGAACATTGATAACTAAGTGGAAATTCTGGAGAAGGGATAAATGCATGATAAATATCATTGATTATGAGATATATAAAAGGCCACTAAACTCAGCCAGCCAGATATCAGATCAGCCAAAAGAAAACTTTCCCAAAACATAAAGATCTAAAATCGCTCTATGCCTATAAAAGAAGTAAAACCTAAACACTATTTTGTTTTGTATCCTAGTTACATATACTCCTATATATCCTAGTTACATATACTCCTATATATCCTAGTTACATATACTCCTATATATCCTAGTTACATATACTCCTATATATCCTAGTTACATATACTCCTATATATCCTAGTTACATATACTCCTATATATCCTAGTTACATATACTCCTATATATCCTAGTTACATATACTCCTATATATCCTAGTTACATATACTCCTATATATCCTAGTTACATATACTCCTATATATCCTAGTTACATATACTCCTATATATCCTGGTTACATATACTCCTATATATCCTAGTTACATATATTTAACATATATTTAACATTTAAGAAGTTGCCACACACATCAGGAACAACTATAATGAAACTAACATTCTAGTTATAAAAACCCCTGCCAAAATATAGCCAATATTTTAATGCCAAATAAGATATATTTGATAAAAATGCTGTAAACACCAATTTATGTTTAGCTCAGCCCCTTAGTTGCTCCCAGAGCTATCAACCAAGGTCCAGTCAGAGCCACGTACAGAGCTCTACCATAGCAAGTACCTTTGCCAATCATCTTGCCATGCGATTGAAAGAGAAAAGGTGATCTCAATCCTCTAAAGCAGCAGCTCTATATGAGAATACACTAGCAACAAACCACTCAATACCTCTTCCAAATAATACCCCCCCCCCCCCATCAGGTTGTATAACTTATAAGAAGTTAGTGTGGAGGAGTAAGCAGCTGGTCGAGGGTTCAAGTCACCCAAGAGCTCCAGTTGACTTTCTTACTGATATAGATCACATTAGTGTGATTTCTTTGTGTAAATAATACAATAATAACCAATTCGTTGACAAGTATTACTGTAGCTACTGAAAGGCAAATCATTCCATAAGTAAACCGGACAAACACTATCCTATCAGTTTTAATGAGAATGTCAGCTTACTAAACTAACTAAAACTGATAACACATGCAATAGAAGAAGCACTAGGTATCAAAATTTTTATTTTAACAGCAACATGGCTCAAGAATGACCTAACCTAAATACATAACCTATCTGGTTATACATCAATTGCATCATTCCATGCCAAAAGCAGTCTGCAGTCTCCGTGGTGTAGTGGTAAGACACTCGCCTGGCGTTCCGCGAGCGCTATGTCATGGGTTCGTATCCTGGCCGGGAAGGATTTACTGGGCGCACTTCCTTAACTGTAGCCTCTGTTTAACGCAACAGTAAAATGTGTACTTGGATGAAAAAACGATTCTTCGCGGCAGGGGATCGTATTCCAGGGACTTGCCCGAAACGCTACGCGTACTAGTGGCTCTACAAGAATGTAACAACTCTTGTATATATCTCAAAAAAAAAAACGTTACAGAAAAAAAGGGGACTTTTCAATTCTACCAGCTCAAATTTTCCATAAATTTGGTAGGATGGTAGAAGACATGAAGTGACTAACATCTGCAAAGGTTTTAGTGCTCAGTGATGCAAGATATTCATACAGCAGGGTTGTTAATGTGAAAATAAATACTTCACAAAACGTTTATGTACAAGCCCTCCCCCCCCCCCACCACTACCCAAAAAAATAACTGTTTCTAAACCACCACTTGTCAGAAGTTAAGAGTTTAATTAAAAATGGACATAACTTATATATGAACAGGCCTAAACTTACAATTAGACATATTTATCACCTATCTAAACCTTTGCAATTACCGCAAAGAAACAGATGATTTTCAGAAGATACATGAAAGTCAGGTACATAAATAGGAGCTTGCCCTTGTGGGAGGGGGGAGAAAGTTAAGTGGGAGGGGCAGGAAGGGAAGAGGGAACAGAAGAATAGAGTATGAGGTGTAAGTCATTTAATTTGACAAGAATGTCGGGGCAAACCCCTACTCTGCCGGAGTCTAACAGTTACACCCCCTTATTTTGAACGAATTATACACACATGAAAAGGCAGCCTTTTAATGTCAGCCACACTGAGGAACTAAAAATCAATCAAACTAACTTGTATAGTAACTATATTGAGGAGTAATATTGGGTGAGATACGTGTGGATGAGAGGAGACACCAGTAGGGAACCCTCGACGCCTGCACCTACAACGTAAACAAACTGGTGTATAAGGAAAGTGAAGCGACCACTCGCCCTCTCACAAATAATTAGATCCCTTATGAACATCTGGTCTAAAACGTTTCCATCTCTCTAAAATCATCATAATCTCTGCTTTTATTATCTCAATATGCCTGCACTATGAATATTTGATTTGCTATTTCAAAATTATTATTGGAGACTTTAATGCCAAAATATGAAAATAAGAATTAGGTGTTTGCTCTGTCTGAATGAATTTTGGGGTTGAGTCCCTGAGCCCATCATGTGCCTCTGTAACCTTTACCATTACCGCCCACGGGATGGGTATAGGGTCCATAATAAATGAACTAAACTAACTATCCCATGTAGATTCAGTCTCATGTTGACCTCCATCCGGATGCATGGTTATACTCTTAGATAGTACTATATTAACCTGATATGTTACATGGGATTCTTGTATTTGTACTCACTGAATTTGTGCGCCCCTTGAGGGACTTGAAGTATGGGAAGGGGTAGAAATAGCCTAAGCTAATCTTTGAGTTTTTTTTTTTTTTTTTTTTTTAACTTGTCTCAATAAACCTACTTGAACTTGGAAGACCATTATGTATTAAAGTGTCAAATTATGGATAACCATAGAAATAAGGAAATAAGTAGTGTACCACTTCAAATTGTTTGGATGTGTGATAATGATATGATAGACAGAATACTTAGGAACTACAAGAATTTTGCCCCAATGATTGTAACACTTACTATATTAATATGCAATGTTAAATGTTGTATTGTGATTTGTGTATCTGTACTCACTGAATTTGTGCGCCCCTTGAGGGACTTGAAGTAGAGGGGGGTAGAAATAGCCTAAGCTACTCTATCCCTTTGAGATGTATTTTTTCTTGTCTCAATAAACATACTTGAATTGAATTGAATTGAATGATGAGTTAGCCAAAGAATCCAAGCACGGAGATCTCATCTTCATAAAGACATATATCCTAGAGAAAGTTCAACACCAGGTGACAAAAATCATTCCAGAACTAAGCATTCCTTGTACCAGTAACGTTGAGGGCTACAGGGCTAACATCACTGCAGACCAGACATGACAGGGCGGATCTCATCGAACCCATTAAAATATTGAATAATTTGGAGGATGTTGATCCAGACAGTTTCTTCAAAAAGTCAGATGTAACACAAGGAACAACGGTTTCAACTGGACAAATTTAATAATCCTGCGTATGTGTAACGGTTTCAAGTTCAACAAGCCACAATTAGGACAAAACTGGAAATGCTTTTTCATTCCATGACGCTATAGCTCTCCACACAAGTCAGATGCTTAATTTAGAGACTGTACTTGTGGTCGGTCTCGAGCCCATTGTTGATGTGATGATATGCAATGAATTTTGTAGTTATAGCTCATCAACACAGCTCAAATCACGTCAAATCAAGTGTTTATTCAGGTAAAGTTCATACATGCAAGGTGAGATGCAAACATAATGTTGGATTTAGACATAGAGCTAGTACATACAATGCCTAAAGTCACTATTACTCACAGCGTTTCGGGCAAGGTGTGGGAAAAAAAACACTTGGACTAGAGCTTAATACTAATTGAGATCAAAGCATACATTGAGTTGAAAAAAGGGAGGGAAAGAAATACATGGCGGAAAACAGCAGTTATACAAGTTGGTCAACAGTGTTGTTTGAAAACAGCAAGACATGAGTTGACATTTAGGGGGGTAAGGTAGATTACATGGAGCTACAATACTTAGTTTTTCTCTTTAACTGGTTGACACAGATGACTGAAGGTAGGTAGATGGATGACAGGTAGTAAATAGAACATTGATAACTAAGTGGAAATTCTGGAGAAGGGATAAATGCATGATAAATATCATTGATTATGAGATATATAAAAGGCCACTAAACTCAGCCAGCCAGATATCAGATCAGCCAAAAGAAAACTTTCCCAAAACATAAAGATCTAAAATCGCTCTATGCCTATAAAAGAAGTAAAACCTAAACACTATTTTGTTTTGTATCCTAGTTACATATACTCCTATATATCCTAGTTACATATACTCCTATATATCCTAGTTACATATACTCCTATATATCCTAGTTACATATACTCCTATATATCCTAGTTACATATACTCCTATATATCCTAGTTACAAATACTCCTATATATCCTAGTTACATATACTCCTATATATCCTAGTTACATATACTCCTATATATCCTAGTTACATATACTCCTATATATCCTAGTTACATATACTCCTATATATCCTAGTTACATATACTCCTATATATCCTAGTTACATATACTCCTATATATCCTAGTTACATATACTCCTATATATCCTGGTTACATATACTCCTATATATCCTAGTTACATATACTCCTATATATCCTGGTTACATATACTCCTATATATCCTAGTTACATATACTCCTATATATCCTAGTTACATATACTCCTATATATCCTAGTTACATATTCTCCTATATATCCTAGTTACACTTAATAATTTATGAGTGATGCAGTTACTCAATTCAATTGAGTGTAATTCAGTTACGCAATACGGTGTTATATATTTATCACGGTAAGATGTAAGTAGAATTATAATAAGCTAAGGGTTAAAGCAGATTATTATTTAACTTAAGACTAGTTAATTAGTTACAGAAGTTAACAAAGTTATAATTAACCCTAGCTATGGTCAGAAGTACATTTAACTGTGACATAATGGAATGTTATGTGAGTTAAATGATCAATCGAAAAGCATATAACCAATTCCTATTAGTAAACTAGAGGCAAAGGCCAAGATGAATAATAGAGTAACTAGGGATATAGAAGTGTGACGTACGATTGTGTTTCTTCGCGGCGGGGATCGTATTCCAGGGACCTGTCCGAAACGCTACGTGTACTAGTGGCTGTACAAGAATGTAACAACTCTTGTATATATCTCAAAAAAAATGTTACGTTGGTGGGTAGATTAGATACAGTGTTAAGTGGGTTTTTATATTTATTTAGTAGTCTTGGTTACAGAAATTGTTGTTCGCAGTGTCATAGACGTTAAGACGAAGCCTTGACCAGAGAGCTGAGTGACGCCGGAGTCGCGGAGCTCGATGCCAGTTGGTAAGTGTCTCAACTCAATGATATGGTGAGTATCTCAACTCGATGATATGGTGAGTGTCTCAACTCGATGATATGGTGAGTGTCTCAACTCGATGATATGGTGAGTGTCTCAACTCGATGATATGGTGAGTGTCTCAACTCGATGATATGGTGAGTGTCTCAACTCGATGAGATGGTGAGTGTCTCAACTCGATGATATGGTGAGTGTCTCAACTCGATGATATGGTGAGTGTCTCAACTCGATGATATGGTGAGTGTCTCAACTCGATGATATGGTGAGTGTCTCAACTCGATGATATGGTGAGTGTCTCAACTCGATGATATGGTGAGTGTCTCAACTCGATGATATGGTGAGTGTCTCAACTCGATGATATGGTGAGTGTCTCAACTCGATGATATGGTGAGTGTCTCAACTCGATGATATGGTGAGTGTCTCAACTCGATGATATGGTGAGTGTCTCAACTCGATGAGATGGTGAGTGTCTCAACTCGATGAGATGGTGAGTGTCTCAACTCGATGAGATGGTGAGTGTCTCAACTCGATGATATGGTGAGTGTCTCAACTCGATGATATGGTGAGTGTCTCAACTCGATGAGATGGTGAGTGTCTCAACTCGATGAGATGGTGAGTGTCTCAACTCGATGAGATGGTGAGTGTCTCAACTCGATGAGATGGTGAGTGTCTCAACTCGATGATATGGTGAGTGTCTCGACTCGATGAGATGGTGAGTGTCTCGACTCGATGAGATGGTGAGTGTCTCGACTCGATGAGATGGTGAGTGTCTCAACTCGATGAGGCCGAGAGCCTGGTAGCTCGATGCGGTCGAAGTCTGCTGTCTGCTCTGTGTCGAAGCTGTAGCATCTTAGGGTCGGTTGGAATGTTGTTGTTGTTATAGATTCAGCTACTCGGAACAAGTTCCAAGTAGCACGGGCTATGGTGAGCCCGTAACTTACCTAGTACAGGAGCGGGGCAAATAGCACAGGCTATGGCGAGCCCGTAGTAGACTTACCTAGCACAGGAGCGGTGCCGTCGATTGGAACTGTACACGCCAAGTACTACATTCTTGAGGTTGAAGGTGTGTACTCACCTAATTGTGCTTGCGGGGGTTGAGCTCTGGCTCTTTGGTCCCGCCTCTCAACTGTCAATCAACTGATGTATAGGTTCCTGAGCCTATTGGGCTCTATCATATCTACACTTGAAACTGTGTATGGAGTCAGCCTCCACCACATCACTGCCTAATTTAAAAGGGGGAAATATGGCTGAAAAAGCAGCACAAATACAATTAGATCGACAAACAGCCTTGTTTAAGAAAACAGACATGGGTTGACAATAGAGGGGTAAGGTAGGTTACAGGGAATTTATTAGGTAGTGCTTCGTTTTTATCTTAAACTGGTTGAGAGAGGTACAGTCTTTAACATGGTTGGGAAGGTCATTCCACATTCTGGGTCCCTTGATTTGTAGAGCATTTCTAGTTTGATTAAGTCGTACTCTAGGAATATCAAAACTAAATTCATTTCTGGTGTGGTGCTCATGGGTTCTGTTACAACCTTCAATGAAGCTTTTGAGGTCGGGATTGGCATTACAGTTCAGCGTTTTATATATGTATAATACACAAGAGAGGATGTGCAGTGACTTAATGTCTAACATATTCAGAGATTTGAGTAGGGGTACCGAGTGATGTCTGGGGCCAGAGTTGGATATTGTCCTAATGGCAGCTTTGTGTTGAGTAATTAGAGGACGTAAATGATTTTGGGTAGTAGAACCCCAAGCACAAATACCATAGTTGAGATATGGATAGATGAGGGAGTAATAGAGCGTCACCAGGGCATGGCGTGGTACATAATATCTGATCTTAGAAAGAATGCCAACAGTTTTTGAAACTTTTTTTTATATATTTAGAATGTGTCCCTGGAAATTCAGCTT